GCATTTTCTGCCTTTTATCTTTCAGGTTCATTATTCGCCACCGTGGCCATGTTTGAGTCCTTGAGCTTCCTTTGCGGGACACCTGCCCTGTTACTGTATAGCGCCACTGTCGGATGGTACAGCGGTTTCTCGTTCTTCCTGATGGATGCGCTGCTGATAATCGCGTTAGTTCTGTTGTGGTAAGTACTGGACCGGAGCCCTGGTTTACTAGCGCACATAAAGCTGACATTCCTAATGACTGTGGTTTATAGGAAGGTAGTGTAAATAATTGTCTCTTTTGTCGACTTGAAGTGTTGGGTTCGATACCTTACAACCTTGCACTGCCTTGGAGCAGACTTAGCCAATGACTTTATAGTCACGTGGTTTTTCTAACCTGCTCTCGTTTCGAGAAACAAAAGGTTCCATGCAAAAAAAATATTATTTTCGTGTATAGTTACAAGCGCAACTAAGTGCTTCAAATATCTTTAGGCCTACTACCAAATTGAAAAAATAAAGAATCGTTAGACTAGAAGAGTTAGATTAGAAGAGTTAGATTAGAAGAGTTAGATTAGAAGAGTTAAATTAGAAGAGTTAGTTAGATTAGAAGAGCTAGATTAGAGGAGTTACATTAAAACCGCTAGAGTAAAACAGAGAGAACCTTTAGATTAGATACCAGATGCCCCCCCCCCCTTTTTTTTTATTTCCCGTCATTTGTTCTATTTATTTCTGATGAACTTGACCCGGAAGTTCTGTTTGTATTTTCTCTTCATTTACTTTGACCTGTCTGGAGTCTTCATTTCCAAACTTGTTCTTTGTTATTTCAGCATTTATCAATCTATCTGGGTTCGCTACACGCGAGAGGTGCAATCAAAGGAGCTGCTTGTTGAAAAGTACGGAAGTATCAACTCTTAAAAAACTTTACCGTCTGGACAACACACTAAAAAGTTAACTCCCCTATTTTAAATCAGACGATGAAGGATTTTCAAATGCTGTGATTCTGTGTCATTCCCGTGATGCACTCAACTTCAAAGAGCAGACGAAGTTCAAGTGTGACGACGTTCTCTCGGCACAAGAAACGGATGTTATGACAACCACCTCAGTCTCCCGGATGTAATTTATTTTCCTTGCAAGATAATGTTTGTGTATTTGTATGTATGTACAAATGTGAATGTTTCAATTTTGTAAGCAAATAGTTGTGATAAAATAAAGACATGTGAATACAAAATTCCAAATATTTGACTGGCACATTTCTCTTGAAATCTCCAAATGTAGTGATTCAAATTAATTTTTTTAAAAATAACTTTGTATACCGCATCTTTCATGGTATATGACATGCTCAGTGCCAGGACCGGTCTTAGGCCACTGCAATAGTGCTTAGTGCACTATGACCCAATCTCTTTTGTGGAGGGGGCGTATCTGTGAGAGTTTCCTGTGCTGTCTTTACGCGCTCAGCAGATACAACAAAACTCGTGTCGGGATTCGAACTTGCAAGGTACACGTATCCAATTGGTTTAGGGTCACTCGGTCACACATCCCGACCATTGAATAAATCAGACTTTAAAGAAGAAAATATCGAAAAAAAAAAAGCAAATTTAAACAAGATTACAAAGAGAGTTTGTGTTACACAAACTCAGAGGCGGCCCCCGTCAAAGTCGGATCCCTGTCGGATCTGCCTATTCGCAAAGAATATTCAAGAGGTTATATAATGTTGATGGTCAAAAGTCATAATGTTTCAAAGATTTATTTGACGTTGTAAGAAATGTTGTTTTTTGTTTGTTTTACATGTTTCGGGTATTTCTTCTAAGTTTAAAATAATTAACTTCGCGCTGGACGATGGAGGATGGCAACAAACAGGGTATGAACCCTGCCTGGTCGTTCAGTCTGCGTGCTGGACTGTCGTTCGGATTCATCGATGGTCCCTGGTTCAAACCCTGCATGCCCCTCCCCCCTTCCCCCGTCGTCCTACGGGAGGTTTGTAATTAAAAAACAAAAAAAGAAAAGAACAGATATCTCGTGCTTTTACTTCGATGTCTCAGCACAGTTAGGTCTATCAACAGAAATATCGGCATTTTTATTTAAATGGAACTAGAATGAGGATGTAGATCTACCTAAATTAAACTTCTGATTTAGCACTCTTAAGATCTATAACTACTAGATCTAGATCTAAAATATTAACTTGGAATAATGTAGTTGTAATTTAGATGAGATTTGTGTAAAAACAATATCCTAGATAATCTATTAAGTAGACTGAATGCAACATTAAATTTAAAAATAGTATATTAGTTTTAGTGTAGGCCCTATTATAACATTGCAATATTATCAAAACGTTTGGAAATCAAAATCTACACTTTAAGTCTAGAAATTGAAATTCTACATCTTAATCTAGTCTATTTTAGTCTAAACTAGATCTAGAAATTCTAGATCTAGACTCTAAAATAATTTTAATTAGAATATAAATCTAGGTCTAGATATACTGTAATAAAACTCTAGATCTAGTTTAAACTTACGGGGCAGCTAAAAATCTAGATTAGATCTAAATCAAGATATCATTCATTTTTAAATGCGAGTCACATAACGAGGCTTAATAAACATTACTATACCGAGTTCTTTAAGCATTTCATTTAAAGAATTAGTTCCATATGACGTCAAAGGGAAAAAAACACTACGTCACACGGCCTAGCTAGACTAAAAATCGTCTTCATCAATACGAGCAATTTTTCGAGTGTTCATAGACATTGGTGCACCGAGTGCGTTCTTTTAGCATTACATTTAAAGAGTCCATTCATATGACGTCAAAAAAAAAAAATTCCATTACCTCACATTAGGCTAGTACCGGTACCATAAAAAAATGTCTTTATTTACACGAGATATTTAACGAGGGTTCATAGACATTGTTGCACTGAGTTCTAATAGAATTTTTTAAAGGGGATCAAAGCCGCATTGTTTTTGCGTTTTGTCTGTCAGTCGGTCTGTCCGTCATCTTAATATAAAAAAAAAAACAACAACTAAAAGCTATAAAAAATTGATTAACCTTTATTTTACGTTTCAAAACATCGCAATAATTTTAGGTATGAACACAATTGATTTAAGTTAATATAATAGCTTGTTCCGGATGTTTGTATAAATAGTAAAAGAAAAAGAGAATTCCAGATAAATGTAATACCGTTAATTAAATTTGTTGGATGGTCTCGTATTAAAATTAGAAGAACTACAGCCTTGTGGAGAGATATTCATATCATACTTTGGTGTTTGGATGTTGTTTTCCTTAAAAATCGGAACAGCATATTATTGATAATGTGCTTTTGCAACGTTTAAGCATGGAAATTGAATGTAATATAAGTTAGAAGAGCAAACCAACATTTGTTGGCGTTGATTAGTATTGCACAAAAAAATCCGGAACAATCAATTTTAGATACTTAAAACTATTGAGATGTTACGAGAGGAACATTAAAGGGTAAATCAGATTTTCAATAGCTTTTAGAGTTGTTGTTTTTATCTAATCGTGACGGACAGACCTACCGACAGACAAAACGCACAAAATAAACCTTTTTTATTCTGATGAGGGCACTAAACAAAAAATAAATAAAATCTGATTTTTAAAAAAAAGTTCAAGAAATTAGTTTTGCATAATGTCGAGGCCGGGCTTTACGCTACTACTCGAAAGTCGCTGCATAAAAAGTCCATTTTAAAAAATGTGCGTGATATTTACATACAAAGTGAATTCTTAGCCTTTATAAACAAACATAAATGTTTTCTTTTAATTTTAGCAGCTAGTTGACCAGAAAAAACTTTTTTAATTAATATTTATATTTGTTGTAAACATTTCTAGTACATTTTATAAATATATTTGACTTGGTGATACTGTAAATATGCAAAGATTGTCAATCATTGTTAGCATATTGTAACATTGCCTCCCTTACATTTACGTTATTGTTTTAGAATTGGTGTATTTTTATGAAAAAATCGCTTGCATAATTAATTTTATAAATTAAACGGTTTGCTTTTAGAAAACCAAAAGTAGCCGTTGCACCTAAACTTTTCAAGCCGCATTTAATGGTGAAATAATATTTTTCATATCTTTTCTAGTTTTCGAGATCTGAGTGTGACAGACGGACATTTTGCACAAACCTAATAGCGGCTTTTTCCCCTTACGGGAGCCGCTAAAAAGCAGACATTATAAAAAATAGATTGAGAAATAAGGAAACAAAACGTGCTTAGTAAACAATGTATTTTTAAATACCAATGACATTTTCTAGTCCGATTTGTAAACCATTAGTAGCAGACGTGACCTACCGGTACTTACATACTAACCAGACTACATGAAACAAACGATCTGTAACAAAGTAAACCTTGACGACATTGCTAGCTAAGCTTGACACGAAATTTTTACATAAATGGCTGCGTTTTTCAATGTCTACCTATTCAAAGTCTGTTTGTTTTTTTTTTAACATCATCAACAGAAAATGTAAAAAATCACAAATACTTTAGTTTTTATTCATTTCAATTAAAAAAAAATAGTCTTCACAAATAATTCATGATGATAAGGACAGAGATTAATTTATTGAATTTTGTCATGACAGTCAACAAAACAAATTAGAAATCACCAATGCAGGCAGAAGTTTGTATTTCAAAAACAATGGACAGCTTGTTTCACGATAATGGTATAAATGAGCTATGAAAAAAAAGTTGACCTATCAATCAGAAGGGGAGCGCAGCACCAAACAAGGGTCATATTTCAAAACAGAAGTCATTAGTAATAAGAACTTCGCCTTCAACCATTCTGTGAATTTAAATATTCCTGCCAGAGCTTTATGCTAAGTACAAACACTAGTATGTTTTGATGTTACAATTTATCATTACACTCCTAGCGATAGTGTAGGAGCGGCATAAAATGAGATTTTTCAATTATCATGGATGCAGAAAAATAAATTTCGTTCATTGTTAGTCAATTCTGTAACTCAAAGTTTAATTTCTAGTTAACCTTAAAGACTAAATTGCTCATGAAACATCTAAATATTGAAGGGGAAACAATACCATTCACAGATTTTTATTATTGGAAAACATTGATTGTGTCCCTTGAATTGTGATTCTATTTGACCAACAAACATGGAGTAGAAAAGAAAATGTACACAAAGACAGAAACTGATAAAAATAGAACATTTTAGGAAGTGTATACATCTAGGTCAACATGGCCTCTATCTACCAGTCCACTAGACATATTTAAACAGAATTGTTTAAAAACAAATATATAGCACAGGCAATGAAAACTAACTGCATCCCAACACAGATTGCAAAAAAAAACAAGATTTTATTAAATCTTAAGAAAAATGATAATAACAGAAGGTAGGCTAATGTATACATGAATATTAACATCTAAACCTAATTATCCCATATCTTAAGATAAAAACTCCTCTCTTTCTCTCTCTTGCTTTTTCCTTTCCCCCGCCCCCTCCCCCAATCCTCAATGGCACCTTAAAATCTCTTTCATTTAAAAATATTTTGTGTACTCCAAAAGATCAAATCATTTCATGTCTATGCAGCAGACGTAAAGAAGTTTTGATGTAAACGTCATTTAAAAAGTAGATCGTGTCAAGCAAACAAAACAATTCAACAAAGTGCACAGCCAAGTAAACAAATAAAATATCTCTCTGGAACTTTCAATGTTCCCATTATGTCGTCCTTAACGACAATGTCACAAAGTGTAAATAATCTTTAGGAGATGACATAAACTAGGTTTAATTGCCATCTTTAAGTACCTCGTGTTTGAAAGTTCTGTTAGGGTTTGGCTGAGAACTTTTAGATCTGACTTTCGCGCCAAGCTACAGAAACAAAAAAAGGTTTGTTTTTATTTCCCTCCTGGATGTTTATTTAGTTCCTGAAGGGGAGCAAAGATAAAATTACAAATTTTTTAAAAAATCCTATAGAAAGAATGAGTTTTAAAATCCAAGGAAAGTAATTGAAAGTAGCAGAAACAAGAGCACTTTTTCTGAGTCTTAAAACGGTACAATCCTTCATTGACATATACCTTGTATAGGCCTATATGGATAGCAGATATCTGCATTATTCTCAATATTGATAGGGAGATTACATGTGTGCATTTCCACCAAACTACACTTAGGTAGTAATGTGTAATGTAGATAAATTATATAACAATGGTTCACAGGTTGAATCGATCATCAATGTTCATGAGAAATGGAAAGACATGTTAAGATTAAGATGATGAGGTATCATGTTTGTTTTTTTCAATATGTAAATTCATTTCTATTTTAACGCTCACATGAGATGAACAAGTTGATTGAACTTTACTTTGCAAATATATGCAATTGGAAATTCTAGATACTTATATATTTTGTTTTTAAATTCATGCACACATTTGATACGAATGAATGAATCAAGTTAAGTAGCCTGGACAAACACGGGGGCAGAGTGGTAAAGCGCACTGCTTCCAAACTGGGGCTCCCTAGCTCGAACTCCTGGTGAAGACTGGGATTTTTAATTATGGTGTCTTTAGAGCACTTTTGAGTCCACCCAGCTTTAGTGGGTACCATGCATTAGTTTGGGAAAAGTAAAGGCCACAAAAACAGATGACCTTTACATCTCTGTCCTAAAGATCACAAGGTGTGAAAGAGGAACTTTACTTCCTAGCCTCGACAAAAGTGTGTTATTCTAATGAAACACCTAAAAAAAAAAAAGGTAAATATGTATAATTGCTATATAGGGTCAACGGACGCTTAAAATAAAAATAGCAAAGAGAAATGTATCGGTTTTTTGTTTTATACTTGCTTAAAGAAACATTTGTCCTATGGAGATATTATTATTGATGAAATAGATCTCCAAATCAAGAGTCCTATGCAATGTGTGTCGCCAATGTGACACTTTTGGTTTTAAACGGGGATCTGTTTCGTGTCCTAACACGTCGACAATTTTATGCGAATCTGTTAATTTGCGAATCTGTCAAATTTCTATTTGTAACACATTTTCAAAAATTCTATAATATAAAAATTCCTTCCTTATTTTTTTTATTAAGCCGGAGACATGTCCAGAGAATAAATAGACAAATTAACGTGGTCACTAGTATTTAGATTTACCTGTAGGCTACTCTAGTTTCGACACTAGTATTTAGAGTTCTTCAAAAGTAAAGCATTATAGATGTCTAAATCTAGATATAGTTCAAAGTTCAAATTACATTCAATATTGAGATTTTTCTTTGAAATCTGTTCTTTAAAACCATACATAAGTTACAAATTCACTGATCAGAACCAATGGTGTCGGAAGAGCTGTTATGTATGGCACATCATATATCACATATTGATTTAATATTACAGCACAACCAGATCAGGCGATGCTTGGCCCTAATGGACACGTGTCTTTTTTTTTTTAAATAGTACGTGTCTCATTCAGAAGAGGCGGCTTTTGTTTAGTCTACGCTCAAACGAATACTTTTAGATGGGGCTAGAATGATCTCTTCGTAAATTGCTTTCAGTTTGGCTGCGGCGGTGTTGAGCTGCTCTGGAGGGTAGAGCCTCAAAAGGTTGCAGTTGCGTATGAAGAAGTGTGGAAGTTCCTTCCTGTCCAGCGACAGGATGAGGTCACGAAAGAGCTCCAGAAATCTTTCCGTCAGTTTTTCAGGCAGCCACTCCATCGGGTCCGGCCACCTCATGCACTGGTGTAGCAGAACTGTCTTTATGTGGTACGAGCTGACCAGCCCAAAATCGTCCTTGTCAGCCTCCCGGATGATGCGAAGTATCTTTTCGCTGTCCTTCCTGGACACGGGCGGGAGATCGGGATTAGGCTGAGGGACTTTCCGAAGCAGGTACTTCTCGGCTCTGCTGAAGGATATTCTAAAGAGGGATGGGTCCGCGGGGTTGGCTGGGCAAGGGGCGGCAAGTGCGTAAAAGCCCATTTCTTTTACGAAGCTGGCGTCAAGGTCCGTCAACCATTCGTTTGTGGCCTCGGGCCATGAGGCTGCGCTGCTGGGCCACTGCTGCTCGAAGAGAAATGCTGGAACAAGTTCGAAAAAGAAAAGATCCGGACTTCTCAAAATTTTTACAACTGTGTAGGGTTCTGAAAACAAAAATACAATAAAAAAATTATAATCCAACAAAACTGATTTACATAAGACTAATAATTGGCACTCCATTTCTAAAATTCCTAAAACTGCCTATCAATGACTTAACGTGAGTAACAAGTAACAAAGAATTTTTTTTTTAAAAATTCATTTCTCCATTATGAAGCTGATGGTGCTCTATAATTTCTTATTCTATTGATTTCTTGTGATGCTCCAACATTGCAAGAAGTCCTTCCAGTTATCTTGCACAGTCAAGTTCTTCTAACCCAGTCCAGCTCATTTCTACAATAAGCCCTTCCAGTGATCTTGCACAGTCAAGTTCTTCTAACACAGTCCAGTTCATTTCTACAAGAAGCCCTTCCAGTGATCTTGCACAGTCAGGTTCTTCTAAACCAGTTTAGTTCATTTCTACAGAAGACGATGCGCAAAATGTCCATGAACGTCTATCTATTGATTCAACTCTTTATTGAATAGAAAAGAAACATTGGAGTCGAGTGCGGGAATTCCCATTGAGAGAGTGTTAAGAATAGTCAAATTTCATTTAACATTATTATTTTTTTAAGATTTTATAGAAGCAAACCAGAGTTTTGTGTTGCCCATTAGTTGTTTTTTTTCTTAAAGATATACATATACTGTCTGATTTCTGGGAAAAGAATTGCAAAGAAATGGACTTTAATAAGAAATGGACTTTGATTTAGTTAAAATGTTGAACTGAATCGAAGTTCATTGGAGACATCATTTAGAACTACAAGCTATTTGGTAGTCCAGCTTTAATAGCCTTTCCTTTTTTTAATTTTAATGATTAGGGATGAAAATAAATGTTGATCAATCAAATATAAAAGAAAAAATTAATTTGACTTATCGATTTTTTGTACATTGAAACCATTAGTCCAATCATGATATTTCCCATTTACTAGATTCTAATTCTCTATAATGTTTGACAGCTTCTTGTGAAGATAAAAATCAACAAAATATCATCTAAATCAATCCTTGATAAGCGCCTGTTTCTGTTAAGATTGCTGGTATTAATATTATTAGATTTCAACTAAACCCAATTCCTCACAAATAATGAAATAAAACAAGAGAACTTTATTAGTTTCAACTTGGAATCTTTAGTACTTCTTTAGAGATTTGCATTCTAAATGAAAAATGCAGTAATTTTCTTTTTCTTTATATTTTGATTTGTAAGATCCTGATAACGTTCTTTGCGAAATAAAATACAATAACGTAGAGATAGAAGAGAAAGCGATAAAGAGAAATGTGGAGTGGAGGAGGTTTTCAAGTAAATAGACAAAAAGAACAATATCTTAGGGCCCTCTACATTGAAACATCACTTGTGTTGGGACCACAGTGGGGATATAATGACAGTGGTGATATAATGACAGTGGTGATATAATGTTAGTGGTGATATAATGACAGTGGTGATATAATGACAGTGGTGATATAATGCTAGGGGTGATATAATGACAGTGGTGATATAATGACAGTGGTAATATAATGTTAGTGGTGATATAATGACAGTGGTGATATAATGACATTGATGATTTTATGACAGTGGTGATATAATGACAGAGGTGATATAATGACAGAGGGGATATAATGACAGTGGCGATATAATGACATTGATGATTTTATAACAATGGCGATATAATGACAGTGGTGATATAATGACAGTGGTGATATAATGACAGTGGTGATATAATGACAGTGGTGATATAATGACAGTGGTGATATAATGTTCGTGGTGATATAATGACAGTAGTGATATAATGACAGTGGTAATATAATGTTAGTGGTGATATAATGACAGTGGTGATATAATGACAGTGGTGATATAATGACAGTGGTGATATAATGACAGTGGTGATATAATGTTCGTGGTGATATAATGACAGTAGTGATATAATGACAGTGGTAATATAATGTTAGTGGTGATATAATGACAGTGGTGATATAATGACAGTGGTGATATAATGACAGTGGTGATATAATGTTAGTGGTGATATAATGTTAGTGGTGATATAATGACAGTGGTGATATAATGACAGTGGTGATATAATGTTAGTGGTGATATAATGACAGTGGTGATATAATGACAGTGGTAATATAATGTTAGTGGTGATATAATGACAGACGTGATATAATGACAGAGGTGATATAATGACAGTGGCGATATAATGAAATTGATGATTTTATGACAATGGTGATATAATGACAGTGGCGATATAATGACATTGATGATTTTATGACAGTGGTGATATAATGGCAGTGGTGATATAATGACATTGATGATTTTATGACAGTGGTGATATAATGACAGTGGTGATATAATGGCAGTGGTGATATAATAACAGTGGTGATATAATGACAGTGGCGATTATAAGATCAGCCAGCCATCCGAAACACGATCAACCATACGTCCTTAAGTACTAAAGAAAAACGTAAACGATGTTCAACTATGGACTAAAACAAATATTGATTTAACACAACAATGTCCTGAAACAGGGGGGGTGGGGTTGTAAAGTAGTTATAAAAAGTCAAGTGTTGATGTTTTTTGTTTTTTTTTCAAACTTAACCTATTTAACAATATCCATAACATAGATCTAAGTTATGTTAAAACTTTAATGTCGTTTACCGTTTTCAACATAAGGGGGATCGCAAAATACACTTCGCCCACATAAAATTTAGGGCTTGCGCTGCCACTGCACATACATAACGATCTGATACGAAATTTGGTTCTGTTTCCAGTCTAGTTAAAGTCTCTGAGTCATACATACAAAAAAAAAAGCAGTGAATTAAAAAAAATGTGTGAATAAAGACAAGGACAAAGAAAAGATTAATTATTCACGCAAGTCTTCGCCGTGTTTTTAACACAAAGTCTAATCCGCCTAGCAGGTGAAGGTTAATGAAGGGCATGCAAGTACATTAGAGAGACATGGGCTGTACTTATCTGCCTTACGGTGTCAACCTTACATATGAGTAGTCAACAGAATAACACATTTAAGCCGCTCCAGTTCAACCCAAGGTAGGGGGTTTTCAACTCGAACCCCCCTGGTAGGGGTTTTCTAAACTCGAACCCGCCTGGTAGGGGGTTTTAAACTCAAAACCCCTTTGGTTGTGCTGGGGCAAGTGATGGTTTAGTATTAAAATCTCACCTAAAATAAACAAAATCAAAGCAAAAAATCAGTCACTAAATTCCGATCCCCATTTCGGGGGGGGGGGGGGGGGGGTTGAACCACAAACCCCTCCCCCCCCCCTGGCTACAGTGTAATGCTAATTTAATCTAACACATTTTCCGAAATAAAGTAATAGTCTACATCCGTAGACAGTGCTACTAGTAAGCTTCATCCTTTTAGGGCTCACGCTATTTCTTACAAAGATACAGAGGTCATTGTATGCATGCTGTCAGTTATCGGTAGCCTACATTATCGAAATTAAAAGAGGGATTTTTGAGGACAGCTAGACCTAGAAATGGATGTACATCATATGATATACAGTTTGTGGGCCGGATTGTATAGAAATGGTCGGGTCAATTTTAATACCCAGTCCGCCCCTGGTTGGCGGTAATCTATTAGTAGCTATTAAACCACAAAACTCATAATTACGTAATAAATAT